CCCCAGCTTGAGGGGGAGTGTTGTAAATAATAATTATTTAGTTATTATTTAGTCATTTATTTTTTGTATTGGGTCAAGCCCATTAGGTCAAAATTAGGTCAAGTATTCTCTATAAATAGAGAACCCTTTGTACAGATTATACACAATTCAATAATATTTCAAATATCCTTTTCTTTCAAGTTGGTATCAGAGCCTGTTGGTATCAGAGTCTGGTTCTCAACTTGGAAGAAAAGGGTATTTGAAATATTATTGAATTGTGTATAATCTGTACAAAATGTTATCTATTTATAGAGAATAATTGACCTAATTTTGACCTAATGGGCTTGGCCCAATACAACAAATAAATGACTAAATAATAACTAAATAATTATTATTTACAACAAAAAAATATAAATAAAATAACTGTTCTACATTAATAAATTCAGTGTTTACGCATAGATTTATTTACAAACACATACATAAATAGATCACAGAGCAAGCAGATACGCTGCTTATCATCAATTAAATAACAATAAAGATGGTATTTATATATATAAATAAACATTGAACACAACACATAAAAGAATGCAGTGTCAAGACAGAAAAGCACACATCCACCTTTGAATGCTGACAACCAAAATTAGCATATAACAAAGATAAAAAACACATACAATAATATTAGCCAATCTACAAAGGAGAGGAAGGAGAAGAACCAAGTACCTTAAATGTCGTAACACTGATTGGACAATGGTGGCCGCAATGTACACCTTCTGACAGCAATGACTACGCAAAAGGGAAACGGGTGGGGAACAACAATGGTAAGTCTGAAGGGGAAAGAGGAAGACCAAGCGTGATTGAAGAAAGAACACAAAAACTTAGAAGAAGAAAGGAATGGCTTGTTTCATGTAACGTCTATGAGTACAAAATTAAGAGATAAAAAATGAGGTAACCGTGAGAGAAAAGGCGTTTAGGTTTAAAGGTTAAAATTTGAATTAAATTTTCTAAACGAGGATATAAATGAAATAAAATCAATTAAAAAATTTGGCAAATTTTTAAATGGAAAAGCGATTCCTTCTCGAGCTTTTTATTATAATTTGAAGCGGTAAAAAAGAGGCATATTATAACCTATTTTTTTCTTTTCTTTTTTTGTACTTCTTATACTTTCGGATAGGCTACCATATATTTATTATTTGGTGAATTAACTCGATATGATAAGTTTATCATATTAGTTCACTTTAATCAGCCAGCAATAAGATGAGTAGTTATCTTAATGGAGACTCGGGTTAAGAATGAACATAAAATAAGATAGTAAATATCTTACCCTTCTCATTTTAAATATAGTCATATTCTCTTCTTTACAAATTTTGTTGAGCACGTGAGGGTAGCCCTTGTCACGACTTGTCTCTATGCCATCGGCCACCTCTATCATCTATTATCGCCACAATCAACCAATCACCGTTATCATCACTACTTACCATCATCCTGAACTATCAGCCATGACGATTGTCTCTAACTACCACCACCCTAACCAATCCAACAATTAGGATTGGGGGAGATCAGGATGAAAGAATTTGGGAGAAAAAAATAAAAAAGAAATTTAATAATTTTATTATGCATGAATTATTCGCTTATATATTTGTCCGTTATTTATTAACGAACAATTGCAATTGAAATTCAAAATGGAATCAAAATCTTAATTTGAATTAAAAACTAAAAATACTTTCAACATAACAATCCATAAAATAATTCATGTAACCAAATTTGAACAACAAAAATAAAAATAAAAAGTCTAATTAAAAACAAATTACTCTAATAAAGATAAACTTGCGAACCAACAAGTCACAAAAACTCCAAGCAGCAGCATCCAGTAAACTACTATGTCACATAATAGTGCACATAGCGTCTGGAGTATAAAATGGATGCTTCTTATATTGTGGCGGTGGCTGAGGATATGCCATGAACGGAGTCTCGTAATATCCTCGATTGCTGGTATAAGCATCCGCTCTCATTTGGGGATAGTATCTGGAATCGTGATAGGGATAAGACATTGATCTTCCATAAGGATATGCTCCAACTGGATAACTACGTTCCACCATTCTTCTAACAAAATATGGACCATGGTATGGGTTTCCTCCCACGATATTATAGTCATTGTCATATGTATAATGCATTTGATCATAATAATCATATGGGTAAGAATAAGACCCATATGGATAACGGGAATAAGACCCATATGGATAACGGTAGCCGTGACCTGACTGCACCACCAAGTACATAATATCATATAATGTAAGTCAAAATATCACTACTGATGGCATCAAAATCAAGAATAAATTGATAGATCAATAGAAAAGGGATAAAACAAACATTTCAGTGTTATCACTTACCATCCTCCTGGATACAAATTTGGAGCAAACTAACTCAACAGCTTCACAAAGGACAGGGTAACTTGATGAAAGAAAGAGACCTATTTTTCCTTCAATTCAAGGAGAAATGGACTATAGAACTATGTTTATATAGTCATAGATGCTGGTAGGGCGTCATGGGCTTGATTCTTGCATATGATTTGGTTTGTTATATTATTTGTTTTCATTTTTGTTATAGAAACATTATGATGTGAATAAAGGAGAAAGCGGAAAATATGGAAATATCTTATTGTGATTATGCTCATTAATTCACACCAATTTTCATTCACTTAATGTTAACTGTATGTATTTTCCATCAAATCTCATCTTCTAATGCTAATCATATCCGGGTTTGGAAAATCATCGTGTGTCAGCGTTCCATCAAATCTCATCTTTTAACGTTTATATATTATACTTGGTTTGTTTTTTCTAAAGTTAATTTAGATAACTTTATCTAATGTTCATCGAAACGACGTCGTTTTGGACGGAAATTATGGTGTTTTTGTAATTTTAATTTATTTCAGGGTTATAATAGTCTTTATCATTTTAATTTTTTAATTTTAAACCCCAAAACGACATCGTCTCGATAAACATTAGACAAAGTTGTCTAAAGTAACATTAGATACTTTTTTTCTCATTATACTTTTATTTAAAAAGAAATATTATTACAAGTTTTTAAACATTAGATACGCTGATTGATGTAATTGCTTTTATTACAATTTATCCCATTTTATAAATTATATACAAATTTATCTATATTTAATCAAAGTTGATGGCTTCATCTTTAATTAAGTTGATTATTAATATTTTTATTTTCTCCTTTGTTAAAAAAAGCGTGTGAAGTGAATTTTAAAAAAAAAATAAAATTAATAGTTAAATAATAATTATTATAATTATAATTATTTTAAAATATTTATTATTATTTCGAATGAAAATTAGTCTCACATATGAAGAGTGAAAGAAAACTCATCAATATTGCGTTCCTACTTTTTTTTTCTTTACGAAAACGAAGTCGCTACAAAAAATGGCTTATTGTGATTATTTAAAGGATAAAAAAATATCATTTTAAAGAACACAATCTTGTGTCTTTTTAGATGATTTACACAAAGTATGACTGGTCATACTTTTGTGTAAATCTAAAAAAATAATTTTTTCTCTCTCTCCAGTCACATCACTGACATATAAAGTGAAAAAATTAACTTTTCATATTTACACAAAGTATGACCGATCATACTTTGTGTTAGTCACTAAAAGAACACAACTTGATTTACAAAAAGAAAAAGAAAAAAGAACACAACTTGTGTCCTTTTAAATAACATCTAGTGACCCCTTATTTAAATCATTCATTTTTTATTTTTTTTTAACTTCATTTTCATTTCCGAAATTTATTACCAAGTTAAGTTGGATTTGGAGCTGGCATTCTGAAAGGAGCTGGCATTTTATTTGGCTAATTTTTTGTATCGTGTATCGCATCAAATTGTAAGATACAGAAATACAATAACAAATAATTAAAAAATTATAATATAATTAATATCATATAAATCTAAATTCCAAATTCCAAATTCCAAAAAGGTCTAATAAGAAAAATACATAAGTAATTAAAGTGCAAACCAATTATTCTCTTACTCATCAATTATTCTCCTACTCATCAATCATTAAGACTAATATTTATCACTACTATCATTATTAACATCTATCAGCGACATAACTAATCCATTATCCTCTTTCAAGAAGGATTCTTTTAGTTTTTTTAATTTTAATTGCAAATTATGTATTTATTTCTTTTTTATATTAAAAATTCTAAACTTCGATTCGTGTATCGTAAAATACTAATAATTATATTTCATTAAAATAAAAAACCGATTCATATGCAAATGGGAACCTAAATTCGTAACCGAAGCAGATGTATGGGCCGGTACCCGGTTATCAATATTCACCGGGCCTCTGGAAAATACAAAGTTTTCCTTTAATTCGTTTTTTGTGGGCCTTGGAATTTTCGATTCATAAATGGCTCAATGGTGTGGCTGGTTTCAGACACTTGTGTCTTGTTTGGAATATAGTCAACAAATTTCATTTTGGATGAATTTAAATTTGAAACCATAGTTTTGATTTATAAAGTATACTTAAGTATTTAATTTTGGCCATAAATGTTTCTAATTTAACATCAAATTAACTTTTTTTTACCTCCATTCAATTCATGGTTGGAGACTAAAATCCCGGTTTGTCCTTCTAAATCATGAATGAGGATTGGCTAACTACAATCGAAACATGCTCTTACATTTTGGAGTATGAAACTGAAAAGTAAGAGGGGAAGAATTTTATTGTCTATACATTTCATATTTATAAGGAACCTTCTCCCCAGTACAACTTTATTGTCTCTACATTTCATATTTATGCTGTGTACGATTGTTTCTTATACCCCATGTCAGAAATAAATAAATATATACAAATTGTGAAATTTAAAAATAACATTATTGTTTCCTATTCTTTGTGATAAACTCTATTCATGTTTGACTGTGCCACCCTCTACTGATTGCTGTACATTATTGTTGCTGTCGTGGAATGCATCTTATTCAGAAAAGAAAAGAGATATAGTTCCCAGCTACAGAGGCCCATTTACTCTGGTAAGCAGATACGTAGCAAATACAGGCTGCACATCCAGCAATACTAAATTATTACTGAATAAGACATTTGTAGCATAAGAGAGAGAATGAGACATCATTTAGTTGTGAGAAGGAAAAGTAAGCAGAACAACACCCTTTGTCTTCTAATATGTTATAAGATCAATGAACAATATTCATATTAATAATTTTTAGTTAACATGCATATTACATAGACAGACATGAAACTGAACTTTAACTTCTACCACATTAGATATTTATTAAGGTAACAATAAAAAGTAAACGAAAGCATTAGCTCTTGAGATTTATTACCTTGCAGACATGAAAGCCATCCCACAAAAGACGGCCCTAACAGATTGCTTCTGTCCCGCATATTCAAAAGCCAATGGCAGCATTTCATGAAGGGTTAGAAAGGCCATAACTCCACCAACTGTAATCATAATTACAACAATCAACAAATATACATAACAAAGTTCCCGAATACAAATTGTGACATTTAGAAATTTTATTTGTGCAAACCTGATCCAAGTATACCCTCAAGAATCTCAGGATTTAAGCTGCTTGGGAATAGACAGGCTACAGAGCAAGATAGCCCGATTGTTAGAAAAATGTATCTATATACATAAAAACCAACTCCTAGGTTGAGAGAGAAAGAGATTAAATGAGCAAGGTTGTATATACATATATTAGGCATGCACGCCTCACCTGACCTTAATATAAAGCATGTCCTCATGAAAATTACATCAAATTACTGCTAATTCTTGATTTCTGATTCTTTGAAAAGAAAAACAGACTAGTATGTGCGAAGTAACAAAAGCAGATGATATACCTATAACTATAACACCCATGAGCCCAGCAAAGCCAGAAAGTGATGCCAATTTGAATGCCTGCCATTTACTGCGACACATCCAGAAATTAAAAAATTAGTAATAATTCAAATTTATAGTTAATGGTATATATAACTCGTGTAACATAAACATATTAACATCAACCATAAATTTAAGATTAATAAATAATTCCCGATGTTACTGTATAACAAAAGAATGACATCAAGTATGTCAAATTTGACAATGTACATTTCGTGTATATAGAATGTTATAAGCATCTTAGTTTAATTTGTACTAAATCAATGGACAAAAAGGCAAAAACAGACTCAGATTTCTTTCTTTTGTTTTTTGGTTACCCTTTTTTTCGGCTAAAGAAAAAGTAACAAAATGAAGAAAAAGATTTTGCTTTACAAAATAGCCATGAGCTTAGAACAACCTATCCATCATCTCCATTGCTACCATCACAACTACTACTAGTAAAACAAAAACCCTAAGGTAGTGTTTGGTTGAGGAGAAATTTTGTAATACTAGGAAAATGTAAATACTAGGGATCTGTAGGAAAATTGAGTTAGATAGGAAAATTTTAAAAAAGTTGTTTGGTTTGGAAAAATTTTACCAAGAAAATTGAGTGAAATTTCTGAATGTGTGTTTGGTTGAAAATAAAAATTTGATGGGGAAATAGATGGAATTTACGAAAGCAACCTTTTCTATAAAATTTTGTACCATTGCAACATATAAGAAGAGGGGTATTAATGTCATTGTCTTCACCCACTTTTTCATTACTCCAGTTTTTGACAAGAATACCATGTCTCAAATAGCATTCATCAACAGTGTTTTTTACCTTCTTAACACACATTTCTACTTAGATAGACAAATGTGTTTGATGGATAAAAGTTATAAAATCTTTCAACCAAACAAGGAGAACAAGGATTGCCACATGCACTTAGATGGGGAAATTTTGAGAATCCCTCAACCAAACACTACCTAAAGGGTGGTCACATACATGAGGAATGCATTACGGCAAAAACTATTTACATAACAGTTCAACCTCCTCAGTATATATATAAAGAACCTTGAGATACACCACCCCAAAAGCTAGCTCAAAGGGTGGGAGTGCCCAAAGCCTCAAAGCCTTATAAACTCCATATTAGTTGCTCATACAACCAACGTGGGACTATATATCTCAACATTATATATTACCCACAGTCAATCTGTTATTTCATATTAATTGTTTTTGAGTTCACTATTTCGTCCTCTAAACAATGGACAATAAACTTCACACTAGAGTATATAGAATCCACCAAGTCATTTGTCAGTTCTAATTGATATCGAAGGCTAAACAACAGAAGCGCATAAAGGTTCCTACCTTTGTGTCGCAAAATAAACAGGAAGTGCAACAGCAATACCCTGGAAATAGAAGATTGTTACAATTGTTGATGTGAAACTAAAAAAAAGCACAATAAAAACAAAGAAAGTTAAGTTAAAATATCAAGAGAAGGCATCGTATTCTATAAGGAGCGAGGTTTTCCCTCATTGCTACTTGCACCAAATAAAATAAAATTATAGCATACAGTCAAAACGGGCCCTCTCACAAGATAAGAATTTATACCTCTGGGATATTGTGCAGAGAAATGGCCAGTGCAAGGTTAAGACCAACACGAAGGCCCTATTAAAAGAAGCATGACACAATCATCAAATTGTAGTGATGACATTAACAAGCATATTAGTTAGTGTATAAGGAAGACTTACCAATTAATTATATAAGTTGCGAATCCATATGTATATCATTAATGCCATTATGGATATATATAACTAACTTCTAATTAAAAAATTCTACATCTTACCACCTAAAATTGTTGACAGAAGTGTTACCTTCCTGGATGTAAGGAACACTGCGACTCCTTCTGGAAAATTATGTAAACTTATACCTGGGAGAAAACCAAAATGACAATTTTAAAATCAAACTTAAAGAAACACTGAATAAAAGAGAAAAATAGATTATGAGAATTCTAATTTCCTCCACTCTTTGATAAGTAGTACTCTTACAGTCATACCTATGGCTGTAATAATTGCACTGGATAAAACTTGGCGGCGACGCTTTTTCATAAAGTCCTTGTTTCCTTCGTCCTCAACTTCCTATTTTCAAGCATGGCATCATATTATAAGAATTTTTAGCTATGTAGAAAATACCACAGCGGCTGCAATGACACTTTTGAAAATGCAAAAAACAGAGGAAGCAATGATTTGGCAGGAAAAAGTTCATTAAAACCTTTCTACTCTTCTCATCTGAAATGGGAGCAACTGTTGGTTCTGGTATAAAATTAGCAACAACAGCAAAGAATACGACACCAGCAAAAAACTAGACAAAAAAAGAACTTTATGGTCAGAACAAATACGAGAGAAAATATGCTAGATTACTTGCATTATGCTGAAGAGTGAAGAGAAAAGCCTACCCAAAGGTTGCCTCTAAGGAAGCCAAGTGAGTTCAAAGCATTATGAGCCAGATCAAAGAATGATATACTCAGCATCAAACCAGCAGCAAAACCCTTCACGGCATGAAAGTAATTAAGCTAGTCAATAAATAAAATTGTAGACTTTATGTCACGTTTCACAAAAGGGGGGGTTATGAAAAGATTGAAAATGAATCTATGCAATCTCAAAACAGATGGATGAAATGGATTTTTTGAGTTTGATGCACCAAAAAGACAACCTGTAACAACCCAAGCATCTTCAAACTTGGAGCTTGACTCATGATTACAAATAGTGCACCTGTTCCACATTGAGAAATTTTTAGCCCAGCTATATATACATACATAAACTCATTGTGGAAAATTTTTATTTTGAAGATATTCTAGTTGATGTTTGGCAAGTAATCCAATTCGGGGGCGAGTCATGAGATACAGACTTTAACCCCTAAGACGGTAATAGAATGGATCAAACATATACTCTCATCTCAGCTACTTCGGCCCCAACTGACCTATCATTATTTCTGAAAAGGCTAACAACGATGGAATAGGAACACCTACCGATGGAAGTGCTGAAGCCACCCAGGGATGAAAGAGCAATACCCAGCATGACCTGAGAATCCATTGGTATGAGAACGTTGGTTTTGGTGATTTTTTTTTTTCTATTACCAAGAATTGGAACGCAAGGAAATTAAAAGATATATATAGAAGAACTGAATTTTGAAAAGGAGAGGGGAAGAAGTGGAACTATACGTAGACTCCACCAGACACGATAAGTTAGGTAAGGCTTCCATATATAGTAATGATAGTTATTATTTTATGTTAATTGAAGAACTCGGTGGAGGGAAAGCCGAGGGAGAAGAGATTTGAATATTCCATAGGTGCAAGTGTGGAACATCAACACAAATTAAGAAAGAGATGAATTGCGTCACTGCTCCACGAAAAGCACTTTCTTCCTCTCTTGCCTCCTCCTCAATCCTATTATCCTCATGCACCATCTTTCTTCTTTACCCACCCCTACTTATTATGTATATCATATAAGGTGAGTGCGTACGAACAATTAACATTGGTCGAATCGAATATATTAATATTGGTTATACTTAGAATATAAAACGACATATGAAAAAACTATAGGCTTTCAAGGCCCATGCTTTCTGGGCCTGGGCTCTTTCTAGGCTTGTGAATGGACCTCAAACTTGAGGACTCACGTGACGTCAGATTTTGTTTTTTGTTTTTTTGTATCTTGCAGCTTCTTCTGTTTACTTGTAATTTTTCGACAGCTTCAATAAGAGTTGGTGAGTTGAATGGTGCTGCCTCGAAACTTCTCGTCCAAGTTCCCTGGCGTATAAACCAAAACCCTAAACCCAAACTCCAATTTTCCTTTTTCATTTTCTCGAGAAAATTCTCAAATGGCCTCTGGACTCGCCCTTAGATTCAGATCTCATCTGCTCCGTAGCGCCTCGCTCTTACATTCCTCTCTCCGCCAACCTCCGATCAGACCCTCGCCGCCGGTATTTTCTTCCTTCTCCAACGCCCGTTCCGTTGACCGCAATTCATCTTCCTTTTTCGATTTCTCCGGCCACCGGTTCCTATCCACGGCGCGGCGCCAGCCGCCGCGGTCGAAGAAGACGGTGGACATCGGCACGCGAGCCCGGCAGCTTCAGAATCGTCGGCTGTGGACCTACGCCCTAACATTCAGCTGCGTCGCGGGGTTCATCGTGATCGTGCTGAGCACCATTGAGAACAATTTGGTGTTCTACTTGACACCAACCGATGTGCTCGAAAAATACTCCAACAACCCGACGAAGAGCAGGTTCCGGTTGGGCGGTTTGGTCCTCGAAGGCAGCGTGGTACACCCGGCTTCGTCTCCCGAAGTTGAATTCGTGGTCACTGATTTGATCACCGATATCGTGGTTCGGTACGAGGGGTCGTTGCCTGATTTGTTCAGGGAGGGGCATTCCGTGGTGGTTGAAGGGTTCGTGAAGCCGATCACGGAGGAGATCAAGAAAGAAGTTTCGGGGAAGAGTGTTTCAGGGAAGGCTAAGAGTGGAGAGTGTTATTTTTCGGCCGCGGAGGTTCTTGCTAAGCACGACGAGAAGTATATGCCCCAAGAAGTTGCCGCGGCCATTGAGAAGAACAAGAAGCTTCTTAAGGCTGCGGCTGCCGCGGAGGAGGGACCCAAGACCTCCTAGATGGATGGTAATCCTCAATTTTGAATTTTTATTTTTTTGGGGCTTTTTTTACAATGTTATGATTTTTGAAGGGATATGGATAATTTAAGACTAGGCTCCGATTTTTTCTGATAATAATTAGGATGTACACGTTGGTAAAGAAGGCAGGAAGGATAATGGAGAGATAGAAATTTTTATTGTTTATGAGGCAACTATGTCTTGTTGTTGTAATGCATTATTGTGCGATGATATTTCTTAATAAATGTTTACAGGGTTTTTAACCAAATTATAATGTAGTTTTCTTATACTTCATTCTCTAAATACTGTTAATTTTGTCATGCCAACTCAATTTGGGTAAATTGCAAAAAAATCAAAAAGGAAGAATGTTTGTGCTGGATTTAGGTTCAAACTTGTGCCCTCTAGCTTGCTGTGGTAACTGGTAAGCTTGTTGAGTCTGTATTGTCAAAACTGATGATGGATTTGAACACTCAAGCTTCACCTGTTATAGTTTTGTCTTGGAAGTTTATCAGAATCTATGCTATTAGAGTTTGAATTTCAAGCAACCTTTAATCGTAAAACTAAAGTTGGTGTAGTTTTTTGTATCAGAATGTTAATTACTTGCAATAATGTTTAAAATGCAAAATTTCCGAGTGTCTAGTTTCATAAGCCATGCAGGGACTTTGAACTTTATTTAATAATGATTCTGATCTATTGCATTTTGGAAATTTGGAGTCCATTTTTTTTTTTACACGTCAAATTTGGAATCCATTGGGAGCATAACCCAAGTGAGGATTATGAGTTATGACAAAGTGTATTTATGGGCTAGAGCCTGAGTTCATATATGCAGCTCTTAGGGTGCTTTTACTTTTTAGGATCGAGCTTGTTGCTGGAGTATATATAGTGTAAAGGCGTCCAAGTTGGGCAACATAACCTTCTTTGTATGCAATAGATAAGAGAAGAATGGGGTGTGGGGTGTTAGAGATATAACTCTAGCTAAGTATTTCAAAACATTCACTTGAGATGAACTACCATATTATTTTGATTTTCCATCTTTTCTTTAGAATGTCCACTAATTTTGATAAAAGAGAATAAGGGCACCAAAAGATTTGGTCATGGATGAATGGACAACCTTAAAACAGTGCATTTGGCTTTAAAGAGTTCTGCCAAGGACAATAGACAGTTATGGATCTAGGAAACACTAATACTTCAACACGGTTGTCATATTGGTGTTGGATACATATCATGTCTGATACCTTCCAGATACCTTTTGATACTTCTAACCTACATCTTTCAATTATTTTTATGAATTTTTATACCAATACAAATGGGATACCACAAGGATTAGATAAATGATGGCATTTTACCGTATCTTCAACATAGTAGATAATTGTGCCGCAATACGTCGCGAGCTACATCGTATGGGCGTTGCGGTGCCTTGCCGCAAGAAACCGCGCCGCGCCACATCGGAATGCAATAGCGGCCATTGCTATCGCATTTGTGGCTATATTGCTATCATAAGACAAAATGTCGATTTTGTCCTAAATTTAAATGTGCAAGAGAAAAAATTTAAGGGTTTTTTAATCTCTCTTTGTCATTTCTTCTATTTCTGTCTTTAAAAAATGTTTCTTTTTGTCATTATATCTGTCATATATCTATTCCGCAACCGCAACCCGTTATAGGACTATGGCGTTTTTCGGAGTTGGCCGCAACATGCCGCAATCCGCATTTGATAACTTTGATCTTCAACGACTAATGCTAACTTATGAAGCATTGATATCTTTATTTTTATTTTTATTTTGGTAGGTTGATATCTTTATTTTTATTTTTATTTTGGTAGGTTGATATCTTTATTTTAATTTAGCATTTATGTTTTTATGTTAATATTATATCATTTTTATATTTTGTATCTTAGCCGTGCCCTTAATTTTTAAAAAATGACATTTGCACATATTAGTGTCTAAGTATTGTGTCCCGTGCATGTATTTATGCTTCCTAAATATGGATGTAATAGTCTAATAGAGCCAAGGTCAGTGCTATACTCTCTTTTATTCTCCACTCTCCAGAGCTTCATAAGCTCGTCTCTCTTTTTCTTTTCCTTCCCCAAATTTGAATTTTGCATTCTTTCATCCCCTTTCTCCACTTACAGAAAGCCAGATGATGGCTAGGAAGAAAAAAGAAAAGAAAAGCAAAAGCATATGTGTTGCAGCGTTTCTGGAGTCTTCTTTCTGTTTTTTCCAATTAATAGGATTATTTGCTTGTGATATGGTTAGAATTAGTAGTTTTCAACTCTTTTCGCAAGTGCCAAACCCTCAACAAAAGAGCAGATGAACTTGGATACTTTGTGTGTGTATTTTCATTTCTTCAAACTTGATTTAAGCTCTCTTTTTTTAATATGGAATAGATTTAGTTGTCTGTGATTTCTTTAGTTCTTTTTACTCTGGTTGCAAGGTAGGCAATATAGTTCCTAACTTCCTATTTCATTGTAGTTTGGATTGCAATAATTATGTTCCTTGTACAGATTTTATGTTTTGAACACACATGTAGCTGGAGTGATTTCCTTTTATTACTTTTGGTGACAACTAGCAATCCGACATTTGAGTACAGAAATTCAAATGTTGTTATCTTAATCTGATTTTAGGCTTAAACATTACATAAGTTCTGGTTAACCAGACTTCAGAGCAGTGCATCAATAAGTCCTATTGGACAAGAGAGCGCAGACCGCAAGGCAGTGGCTATTGTTGTGTTGTTTTGAATGTGCTCGGAATAATAATAACTGTCATATGTATTGGTTGAAGGTAAGAATCTTTGACAATTTGTGATCATCTAGGAATTGGCTGCTGATAATATAAGTTTCCTACAACATCTAGGAATCTCGGTCTTCAATCGTTCGTTTTTGAGACTCGCCTAAAATGTTGCTCAAAATGATGATATGCATTAAGCACTTAACTAGTGTCGTACATGACCCTATGCTAACTCTATCCATATGTTAAGCAACTCTTGTCGTTAACACAAAGGCTAAATGGAAGTATAACCCCATCACATTTATTGTCATCGTTTTGAATGTTTTAAGTTTCGATTCATTACATACATTTTCCTTTCTCCCGAGTCAAATTGGGGAGTAAGAAATAGAATTGATGGGATGAAAATTATATTCTGTTTCACTGTAAATTATCCAATGATTTTATTACATTTTATCTCACTTTTTTTTATTTTTTTATTTTTTTTTTGATAACAACACTTTTTTTTTTTTATTTCATTTACTTACTATTTGTTAAATATCCAAACTTACTATTTCATTTTACTAATTATTAAATGGGTTTAATGTTTCCTGCACGTATGGGAATGGGTGGAATCTAATCGGGAGAAGAGAAAGAAACAGAAAAAATAAATTCCACTTGGTGTGTATTTCTTAGGAAGAAACAGTCATCCCTTATTAAATATCCAAACTTAGTCATTAGGTGGTTAACATTGCATATGCATCTTTTTATTTTATTTTTCCCTTCACAGACAGAAAAGAAAGAGTTACTGGTTTCTTTAGTGAAGAGGTTCTCAATGCTGTGTTTCTCCTGTCTAATTAATTAATATGATTTTTACGCATTTCTTCTCTTCTAAATACTCACTTGGTTTAATACGCTTTGTCACTGAATAAGAACACCGTGCAAATCTAGAAGATCAGAAATATTTGACGATAGAGATAAATCACACCCCAACCAATAATTAGGGAAAAACAATAACATAATATATCAACAATAATGTCATCTACAGAAGAAATGATTCATAATGTTGCCACCAGTGGCCACGAACGCACTCATTTAGAATGAACAAATAAGAGAACAGAATTGAGTAAAGTATATATGCCTCCATGCCGTAGGAAAATTTAATGGCATAGAAGGGCAAGGAGAGAGAGGAGCAATGAGGAGCAAACAAATGCTCCAGAATAAGTCACCAAAAATCCAGCTCCAGCATCCATTGGTGCTGGTGCTGGCGCTGGTGCTTGAAGGAACTCACTATCCTCCGCCTTCACCCCAGTAGCAAACACAAGCCCCACAACAAACACCATGAAGAAAAATACTGCTATGCTCTTGCTAAGTTGTGCCATTTCTCTCAGACACAAAGAGATGTAAAGAAAGACAATAGATACTTAGAGAGGGTGGTGGATGAGTGTGTAAATTGCTTTGCTATCTTGTGTTGTGTTATTGGAGAGAGCCAAGACTCGTTGTTTTATAGGCTCCACTTCATGTTATTGTGACGGTAATAATTCTTATAAAATGAATTAATATTTTAAGTTAATCATATTAATTTGAGTTTAATATGCGTTTAGACGGCAACGTCTCTCTGCTTTAAATACTTTGACGGTTGGTGTAGGACCCGCGCACGCACCAGACAGGTCATCTCATCCTCCTTTTGTTTCCTGTAGTGGTCCCTTCATGTAGGCTTCAAACGGCTATGTTTTTCTTTTCATTTTGAAACAGCTGTGCAGACAAGGGTCGGAGGATATTTTTTATGCTACCAGAATAGATATTCCTTTATTAAAAAAGAAAAAAAAGAGAGAGGATATGATAGAAAATAATTATAAAGACAGAAGTAGTGTAATTTTCACATTTGAAAAAAAATACACTAAATGTTCAGTACTCTTTTAATATTGAAAATATTTTCGTTAAGAAGATACAGTGGTATACACCTTCATAATTTATTTTGTGACTCCATAATTTCCCAATTTCAAGCTATGGTGAAGGTTGGAAGGGTGGGAAATGGCCCATGTCCAGGGTGGCCAATGTTAGATCCTAACAAGAAACGAGGTGACAGATCTTAACACTGTTTGATTTTATATGAATATATATACAGATAAATTAACCTTGTTTTACATATAAGATGTAAAAATATATATTATGTACTTATAGTTAAAAGGACTCTAAAAATTGTTTTTTTATTGTTTTAATTTGATTTTTGACTGCAAAATTGTTGAAACGCGATATGTATTGTGTATCATTTGACCGATTTTTTGTATCGTGTATCGTGAATTATATCAAATCATAAGATACAGAAACATAATGAAAAATAATTCAAAATATATAATATAATTTATATCATATAAATCTAAATTTCAAAATGGATCAAATAAGCAAAATATACAAGTAGTTAAAATACAAACTAATTATTCTCCTACTCATCAATAGTTAAAACTATTATTATTACTACTATCACTATTAGCATTTATCAATGACATAATTAATCCATCATTCTTTTATTAGGGTACACAACTCTCATATTTTGTTC